TATCATGTTTTTTTCTTGGAGAAGTTCCAAAAACTAAGTTTAATCTGATGACATCTGAGCTAATAGAGCGCTGCACCAAACACATTTAAATTAAGTCATTGTCATACTTTTAGTTGAAAATATGGCTCCTTTATGTAAATACATTTATACAGAAACACAGATTTATAAATGTGTTTTATTCGCAAATGCAGGTGTGTTTGATTAGGGTTAGAGCTAAACTCTGCAGGAAAATGGATCTCGCGAGCCAGATTTGAGGATCACTGCTCTACGGTAAACAGTAAAGTATGTCAGATCTTAGACGTCTGCTACATCCTTCACAACCAAGCATTCAGATCCAGCCTGCAAGATGGAGAACTGCGTGGTGCAAATTGTGTTCAGCGCTAGATTTTTTAACATGTTCATTCCATTACCTGATTTGCATAATTCCTTTAGTGCTAAAAGTGCGGACTAAAAATATGGAGCACTGCAAGCCAGAAAAAGGACAGACGGATAGATGGCATGACAGAGGAGAGAGATTAAAGCCAAAATAGACGAGCGAAAGGTAAGAAATATGAAGAGATGGACTGGATGAACGATAAGAGGAGATTTATGGAGGGATGATCTGACCTTGCGGTGCTCCTGCAGGTTGAGTGAGGATGAGCACTTCTTATTACAGATGGTGCACACCAACTTCCTGCGAGCACTGCCTACACACACACACACACATACACAGATCATACATCACATGAGCAGCAGGACACATCCTGATGGCATGAGGAGCTGCTAATGGAGACACTGCATCAGTTCCAAATAATAAACATCAGGAAGTCCTTACATGAATCAGTTCCTGGTTCAGCATGAAGTACAACACCAAGATGAAAACATCTATATTTAAAAGGGGTGAAAGGTCAGCTAACACGTATTTCCCGTAGAAAAGGAAGATACAATATCCCTCAATAACAGTTCTTAAAGCACTGCTATTTGAAAAGGTCATATTCTACACTTCGTAGCACTTTATTTGGTAATACACTTTAATGTTAGTCAAGGTTTCTTGCAGCAAAAACAGTCAGATTTTGTGTTTTAGTTTTGTTTATTTGTTTGTTTTTGGTAGCGTGTCCTTAAAATGTCAATATGTAAATGAACTCTCTTGTGATTGGTTAATTTCAGCATATTGGCATACTGTTGAAACTTAAAGGGATAGTTCACCCAAAAAAATAATAATTCTGACATCATTTTTTTCACCCTCAAGTCGTTCCAAACCTGCATGATTTTCTTTCTTACAGTATGTTGAACACAGAAGATACTGGTAACCAGAACGTTGCTGGTAGCCGTTGACTTGGAATGGAAGTCAATGGCTTCCAGCAACTATTTGATTACCAACATTCTTCAAAATCTGCTATTTGAAAAGAATTGAAAAGGTCATATTCTACACTTCGTAGCACTTTATTTGGTAATACACTTTAATGTTAGTCAAGGTTTCTTGCAGCAAAAACAGTCAGATTTTGTGTTTTAGTTTTGTTTATTTGTTTGTTTTTGGTAGCGTGTCCTTAAAATGTCAATATGTAAATGAACTCTCTTGTGATTGGTTAATTTCAGCATATTGGCATACTGTTGAAACTTAAAGGGATAGTTCACCCAAAAAAATAATAATTCTGACATCATTTTTTTCACCCTCAAGTCGTTCCAAACCTGCATGATTTTCTTTCTTACAGTATGTTGAACACAGAAGATACTGGTAACCGGAACGTTGCTGGTAGCCGTTGACTTGGAATGGAAGTCAATGGCTTCCAGCAACTATTTGATTACCAACATTCTTCAAAAGTGTGTGTGTGTGTGTGTGTGTGTGTGTGTGTGTGTGTGTGTGTGTTCAACGGAAGAAACTCCTACAGGTTTGGATCAACTTGAGTGAGTAAATGATGACAGATTTTCATTTTGGGGGTAATTATCTCTTTAACATACATTGTATACAACGGTCAACACAGCAAATTTATTTAAGTTTAAAAACTTAAGACCAGTGCAAAGTCTGCATGGGGAATTTCCAGACTGCACGGATTTCTATTGAAATGACTGCATTTCGTCCACTGAATTTCATCACAAACATAAATGTGACCTTGGTTGTGGTAGTGAGACTATTTTAACATCCAGAGTGCTTTAATTCAGCATCTTCTTGGGTTGGCTTTAATTTATCTAAATAATAAGATGAATAATTATTTATCTAAATAACTTCAAAGTCAGAAGTTATTTAGATAAATAACAAAATTCATAGCACAAAATAATTGTAAATAAAATAACTTTACTGCAAACAAACGGGTAAAATAAAAGTTGTCAAGTTGTTGGCATGCAAAGTGTAGAAAGATTTGTTAATTCTAATATGAGATATCTTGTTTTGTACCATTTAGCTTAATTTTACGTTTTTTCAAGTTATGAAAACTTGACGTGGTGAGGACATTATGTTTGAGGAGCCGATTTCAGAGCTTATATTTACAGCCCAGAAAGCACAGAACAGAACAATGGAAAAGAGGTTTGGTTGGACTAGGGAGAGAGATTTAAGTTGTAATGTTTACATCTACATAGTATGTCAAACCTTTATTTCAAAACGGCAAAACCCACCTTACTACAGCAAAACACACAGAATCATTTATATAGCTGTAAGCACTTTCACAAGCGCTCAGTTAATCGTTTAGCTTACTGTTTGGATTCATTTGTAAATGACTGATTCACTTGCATGTGGCTAAACGGTCCAATTATAATTACTGACAATAATATTGAAAACATTCTGATACGCGCTTTCATCAGCCGATTAGGGGCCTTCGACTCATTTTCTCAGATGTGTGCGCTTCTGGCAGAGAGACAGACACGCTGAGAGTCTGGTGAAAAGAGGAGTGTAGAGAGGGAGGGAGCGCTTAGCGTTTATCTGACAGACAGAGGGGATGAAGAGCGGCTCAGAAATGAAGAGATTAATGAAGATGTTAAACAGCCGCTGATTAGACTCTCATTACAGATGGGTAATTTCGCACTCGCCTCAGTCTCTCTCTCGCATGTGTATGTGTGTGAGACAAACCTGTGTGGACGTTGCCTTTGTGTTTCTTCAGGGCGTCTTTTTGCGCTCGCCCCCCTGTCTCTCTCTCGCGTGTGTGTGTGTGTGTGTGTGTGTGTGTGTGTGTGTGTGTGTGACCAACCTGTGTGGACGTTGCCTTTGTGTTTCTTCAGGGCGTCTTTACTCCTGAATCTTTTCCCACAGCTCTCGGCCTTACAGATGAATCGACCGTCTCCTTTACACACCTCTTTATGCTGCTCAAAACTGCACACAAACACTCAATTTGTATTTAAAATCAACATGAAATGGTCTCTTCTGTAATGTGGCATGTTTCAAAGGGAAACAGGAGTGGGCAGTGCATATGAGAATGGAAACGACTCAAGACTGATGTACCTGGACTCTGAACAGAAGGTGCTGTGACACAGGACACACTGATGAGTTTTTGAAGGATCTCCTGATGAAGCGGAGCTCTCTATACAGTGAAGAACACTGCAAATCAACAGGACATCAGCATTAACGCGTGATACACTGATAAGCTGTATATTGTTTGTGAGTGAGTGAGTGTGTGTGTGTGTGTGTGTGTGTGTGTGAGTGAGTGAGAGAGAGTGTGAGTGTGGTACTGACTGGCGCTGCAGGGCCTGTTTGACAGGAAACTCTTTTCCGCAGGAGTGACATTTGAACTCTTTGTCCTCTGTACTTCCTCTCTGATGAAGACTCTGAAGATGTTCAGCTAACACTTCTTCACTGGGAAAGCTGCTCTCACACAGCAGACACGGGTAATCTTCCTTCTTAATCACCAGCTCTACACACACGTTATAAACCAGTGATATTATTTTTGCACTGGCTTATATAATGCTGCCATATTTATCATACAACATAATACAACAACATAGTATGTTGTGTGAATCAGGAGAGAAATCTGCACAGATCAAGCACTGTTTACACCAGAAAAGTCCAAAACAGCTCTAAATTATGATGTGGGTGGATTTTGATGTTTGATGAAGAGGGGATGGACTTTTTCACTGGAGGAAGTGTTATTATGGACTCCTATTTAAAGAACAGTTTAAAGTAAAAAACAAACAAAACAAAAAAAGCCTTCATGGATTTGTTTCTAACTGTTTCTTTCTCTTCTCAAGACATTAACTGAAGGACTGGAGTGGTGTGGATTACTTGTGGATTATTGTGATGTTTTTATCAGCTGTTTGGACTCTCATTCTGACGGCACCCATTCACTGCAGAGCATCCATTGCTGAGACAGTGATGCAATGCTACATTTCTCCAAATCTGATGAAGAAACAAACTCTTCTACATCTTGGATGGCCTGAGGGCGAGTACATTTTCAGCAAATTTTCATTTCTGGGTGAACTATTCTTGTGCCTGATAACAGATATGCGGAACCGATTTGTAATTATTTTTATAGTTTTATTGCTGCTTTTTGACACAATTATGACTACATGACCATTAGAATACAACAAAAACATAAACTGTGCATTTATTCATAACAAATTATCATTACTACTATTGTTGTTATTTATGCCATTCTATTTATGCCAATTTATTGTGATCTAGATTGTTATATGTAGACCCAATCACACATTTCTGTGTAAATTATTCATAATCCCTTTTAGAAAGACCCTAAACATGCATACCTGTTTCTGCACTGAGGTGTTTGCTCTCTTTACTGTTCCCATCTTCATCTTTGATGTCCTGGTCTTCCTCCAGGTCCTCCTCTTCCTCCTCCATATCACTGTCCAGGTAGCCAATCAGAAGCTCTGTATCCGTCTCGATGTCATCAACAGCCAGATAGAAAATATTCTCTCCATCCTGTTTAAAGAAACAGTGTCAGCAACTTAATTCACATTAAATTGATCAAAAGTGACATTAAAGATTTTACATTGTTAGAAGATATTAGTTTTTCTGTTCTTTTATACTTTCTTTTCCTCAAAGAATCCTGCAAAAAGAAATATCACGGTTTCAGTCCAGAATCCTGACAATTCATATAGAAAACAGCTATTTTAAATTGTAATAATATTTCACAATATTACTGTTTTTACTGTATTTTTGATCAAATAAATGCAGTCCTGGTGAGCAGAAGAGGCTGCTTTCAAAAACTTTTAAAAATCTTACCGACCACAAACTTTTCAATGATAGTGTATATATGGTGTGAGCCATAATAAACATAAATATAAGCTCTTGGTATCAGTCAAATTTCTATATCACATTAAATTGATGATTACTGCATACAGAAAGAATGATCTTCCATTTGTAGGCATCACATGTCAATCCTTGAAGTTAGATTTAAATTACTCCAGTAACACTAAAACATCTTCAGATGTATAAATGCAGCTCGTAGGAGGATTCGACTTTCCCATAACTTTTAATGTTTCTGTATTAATTTCCAGGCTTTTGAAATCACCTAATACAGTACTTCCAGGTTTCCCATGACTATGAAAACAACTACACTTTATTGCACACCTACAAGTTTATTAACTTGAGTTAAAGCAGTCAGCAAACGTTTCGCTGGTTCATTTTCAATATATTATCGGTTCCTGTGCTGATACCGGTAAAATACTGCATGGCTGGAAAGACCTGTCAGCCAATCAAAGGATCAGAAGTAACTGTCTGTGTGTGTGTGTGTGTGTGTATGTGTGTGTGTGTGTGTGTGTGTGTGTGTCTTATAACTGAATTAGACGTTGAAAAGCAAAGATCCAGGTGTCGTCTGACACTGAACAGACAACACAACAGTGATCTGCTGGGAGGCTCAATCACACATTCACACGAGGGGAAGCGTAAGATCAGCAGCGCTTCCTGATTAAGGTCAAAGGCCAAACACTTGAACCCCTGTTTAATGACTTTATCAGACCTTCATTTCCTAAAAGGTCATGCAGAAATAAGCACAGTTGCTGTACATTATGTTAAAAACACAGTCACAGATTTATCCACAGGGAGATGGTGAGAGAGGTGTCATGTGTGACGAAACACAGACTCTGTTCTCTTGATTCTGCTGTAATGGCCATCAGATTGCCAACATCTCAAACTCACCAGAGACCCATTCACAGACACTGCAATGCAAAGCAAATGAGCCTGCATCCATCCATGTGAAAAAAATTCAGGGGAAAAAAAAGCATTCAATGTACTATTAAATTTAATGATTAATAATTTATAGTTAGCATAGTAAAGTATTATAGTAGTATATTATAAATTAAAGTTTATTGAAAAAACATAAGACAAAATGTTACAGATACAAAATCTTGATATTTTGGGAACACATAGGAATTCGCTTAATCATATTTTAACCACAAAATCACAATTTCAGCTTCTCTAGATTAATTAAGCGTAATCAAACAGTATGCTGGAGTTTAGCCATATTTATTGAGATATTCTTCACAAATGAAAGTGATTGTAAAAATGACAGCAATTTCAACAGTAAAAGACTGCTGCTGTTGAAATTTTACTGAACGTTTCACACATTTTTCTTACATTTTTTGTTAATTACTGGAATTAACTGGAAATATTAATTGCAATTATCTTAAATAAAATTAGTTATTTCACTCTTTTAGCTTTGAATAGAAGATTCTTTATACCAGTTTTAATAAGGTAGAGAGCATGTTAATGTATATGATAAATAAATCAGTAAAGTAGATCAGATCAAATAAACTAGGCATTTAAGTTAATATCCCTTTGATTGGTGCTTACATGAAATTAAGAAGAAATTTCTTAAATGACAACAGCTTTGATTAATATTCACGTTTATAATTTTTGAGCAAAGTAATCATTAAGATAATTATCAGTTTTAATAATTATCAGTTTAACCATTACCATTATCATGCAACCCTAGGAACACATCTAGCATGCAGAATCATACTGCACATTTACATTCTGTTTTTGTTGTGATTGATTCTATAGTGAACCCTCCAGCGAGGTATTGCATGCTAAGCGCAAAGATATGTTTTTATTTGTTGAGATGAGCTGTGAAATCATTCTGCAATCACAGCATTATTCCCATCATTTCATCTGAATCACAAGATGCTACAGGTGCATTAATACTGACTGTAAGTAGGGCACTGGAGGTCGCCAGGTCACTGCATAATTGGTTACTACTCAACTGCCATATCCAACTCATGTGACCTCAATGTGTACGCCCACATGTGCATGTCCACATGTCCCGGTGTGTGTGTTATTCATCTAAGGCTCATTACACTTCTCTTATCTCCACACTCTTTGGTGTTTTCAGATCTCTGGCACTGCAAAAGCACATCAACACTGCTAGACATAACAAACAACTCACTCCATCTCATTCCCTCTGCTTTCTGCCTCTGTTTCAAAGCCTTATGCAAAGCTGCTCTCATACTCCGTGGCTCTGAACCAAAACCTAATGAGTGGCCCACGTAATATGTTTAATTTGTAATAATATGTTTAATTTATATAGCGCCTTTCCCAAGCTCAAGGACGCTTCACAATG